AATGTGATCTAGCAAGCACTTCAAAAAGAAGTTTTGAAATAAACTTGCAGAAACTTTACTTCTTCAAGTGTAAAGTAATCGTTTATAGCAAAGAAAGGTTTTTAGGAGCAAATATTCTATAATTATAGAAAAACAGTGATAGTCATTTGATTAATCATGTGTAACTCAATGGTGATGGAAATGTCTATCAAACACTCCCATCACGTTTTTAAGGCCAATGTGCAAAAAATTATGAAAACAAATGTATACATGTGAATTTTAATCTTCTTTCAACATATGACCTTATTTAATGGTCTCTTGTTAACCAACGCAAAGTTTGCAAATGTGTTAGTAAGATAAACGAGAATGTGCTAGTTTCCATCACCCAATTCTTGTAGGGAATGCTTCACGCGACTATTTATAAACCAGTTTACTTTTAAAATAAAATTCAAATGCAGAAAATGAGAAACAAATGTGGTGAAGTCCATTCAATAAATAGATGTTCTCTTTCATAAAATTGTCTTCCAGAATAGGCTGGATTCCGATTTCACAACGAGGGTAGAATACATTCGTTAACGAAGGCTTTGATATGCTGGAGAATAGCCAAGTTATCGTTTCGAATTCCATCCCCTTATCCATTCATTATAGAAGGTGAAGTCAAAAGGTTCGTTCTCCAATTATTTAAGAATTTTTAACCAAAGCCAATGGTGAAAAGACCGCTGCCCCTTTTCGATGGTGTATAAAAATAGCTGTACCGATTACCAGTAGCTCATAAAAACAAAATATGTATTAATTCTTACTATGGGAGTATGTAAGTTCAAATTTTAAAGCCGTTTTTCTAGGCTTTTTTTTGGGCTTTAATAGTGTTGAAGTATATGAGCGTTATGTTCCTTTTCACGAAATTCATATTGGTTGTGGAAGATAATTTTCGAACGGTCGCCACAATGTCTTTGGGTAATTTTCAAACATTTGTAATTGAAAGAACGAACTTTTTCATAAGGATTTTTAATATTTTTACTTAAAAAAGTTCATAAAACTTCGATGTGTTTTGTTGTTGTTTTAGCGGCTACTAAGCCCCGTTCGGGGCGGTTCATCCATCAACGTTGTCGTCAATTTCAGCTAGGGGGAGGCCCAGGAAGTGTGCTACTTCCACAGGGGCTGTCCATAGGGACAGGGGCGTTAGCTGAGTGGGGTTCTCGGGGCATGTGAAGAGGTGCCGGGAGTCATGCGGCCACTCTCCACATGCCGGGCATTGGTTGGGCACATCCTCGTTGATTCTACTCAAGTAGGAGTTGTTATTCGCGATACTTACTCAGTACTTGTCGAAAAGTATCGAGTTCCCGATACTACTCAGTACTCAGTAAAAGTATCGATATTCTGTACTCGTTACTCGCATAATTCTATCACTATTTGTCCCTAGCCATGTCCAAATCGAAAACAATTTTTTTTCTTCATTGTGTTTAGCGTTTGTTAATTGTTGTCTTGTGATAAAATGAAGAAGTTTCCAGTGAAAATTGATTTGTCAACTTTTTTTGACGATGAAAGAAAGTTTGTTATAATTCTTGTAGATCCACTATGGAAAAGCGTACAATGTTTGCAACATCGTGTGGAAGAAATATTTGACGTACGACCGGTACATTTTCTCACGGATGATAATCTTTTTATTCCACCGCAGGAATCTATAGAAGTTATGGAATTCACCGGATCACTTAAGTAATAAAGTTGCACCAATGGTAAAATTAATATAAAAAGTTTGAGTTTTTCCAGGGCATTCATACCAAAACTTGCTCTCGAGGAATCTCGTCGTCGTCGTTCAAAGAAATTTAATCCGGAACCTTTGCCGACTGAGAAAGAGTCAGTTAAAAAAAGGAAATATCATACATTGGCTACTGAAATCTTAGATGTTTCTATTCAGAATCAAACTAAAAAGTCGAAGTGTACACCATTAGAGGCGTCCAACGTGGCAACTCCAGTTTCCAACGAGTCCCAAGAAATCACAAGTACCAATGAACAGACTTGTGCATTTAAGCAAACTACGAAAATACCACCAAATGATAGTCCAGCTGAACTCGGCGCTCGTAATCGCAAAACATCCAATTCAGATATTTTAAAAAATCAGAGTTATACGGCTAAGGAAGAGGAAGGGTTAGTATCGATAAGTAAACCTAAAAAAAAACGATCTCACAAACGAGAGATTGAGACGGATGGAAAAAGGCAAAATGGTAATTAAATTTGCATGTCGTACCTTGATATAAAAACGCCCTAACTAATTTTTTTTTCGAATACAGTACTGCGGTGGTTCCCAACCTTTTCCAACTGGCGACCCACATGTCCTTATCGTAATACCTCCACGGTCCACTAGTTCACGGTGGAGTAAGAAACCTAAAATTGTATCGCGTCCCTTTCTTATATATAAAATATATACTTTACCATCAAATATTGCAAATATATCTGTGTTCATATGGAATAGTAGCTTATGTCGAAAGTCTGGCTTTAGTATAATGCGGCAGTCGCAGCATAGAACTTTTGGCAAATAAACGTGCAAGAAATAGTTCCGATACTAGCAAGTCAATATTCTTATTGAGTCTCATCAAAAAATTTCTTGTCGTTTAAGCGAAGACTTGGTGGCCAGATTAAATGACCTAAAAAGAATTGAAGTCTGGGCCATCATGAATGGCAGGTACTTCCTATTTCGTGCGTTCCTTTTGATCTCAGTACACTATAACCAATTATTTTGAACGAGATGGTGCTAGAATTCAAATATGTTGTTCCTATTCTTGCTATTAAAATGAATCCCCGCTTAACTTGCATGGATCACATGTCATAGTATATCAAAAATTATATTTTATATTAAGAAATCTGCGGCACTCTAGTTAAGTTAAGTCCCTCATCGTTCTCCATATTTCCTATGTTGGACTCGTCTATGGGAATCTAAGCTACGATTCTAGGAAGAAATTAAATCTAGTTTTAAATAACGTGGATAGGTTCATTTATTGTAAGAAGAAGTTTGACCACATATCCCAGGGGCGGTTATCATTATGAGTAAAATTATTTATATCAGCATTTAATCATTATTTTATGAGTTTTATTTTTTTCGCTCAAAAATATTAATTATTATTGATTTTTATTTTTCTGCTCAACGGAATTATTATTGTTTGATTTTTATTTTTCGATCAAAAATAATGATTAATTTATGATTTTTATTTTTTCGCTCAGAGATAATAATTATTGCTGAGTTTTATTTTTCCACATAAAAATAGTGATTATTTATAAAATTGAAAGGCTTTACAGACGCAACTTACTGAAATTTTTACCTGCAAATTTTTAGACTTGTTCCTTTAATTAGGGTGTCGCTACCTCTGAAAAGGATACGGCGGAAACCGCGATGGTACAGATTTTAATTTTTTTGGAATGATCATTATTCTTAAGTGAAAAAAATGAAACTCAATAATAATTATTATCTTTGAGCGACTAAATAAAAATCATAAAATAATCATTATTTTTGATCGAAAATATAAAAATCAAGTAATAATAATTACCTTTGAGCGAAAAATTAAAACTCAAATATTAATTATTATTTTTAATCTTTATTGGTTAAACTCGAAAAATAATAATCATTGTAAATTACAGTGGGACGTACGAAAACAAATACGTGGGTATAAATAAAATGGTTTTACAACGATTACAACTTGTTGATTTTTTTGGTTAAAATTGAAAAAAATAATGATTATTTCCGTCCCTGTTAGTTTTTGTAAAATCATCTCGTACGCACAATATTGTTGTCCCAAGGTACAAAAATTTACCGGCGTCTAGATTGTTTTTTGTTTGCTATCAGAATTTGGAGCTCAATACCAATTTAAATTAAATGTATAACATCGATTGGATCCTTCAAAATGGCAGTTACAAAACTATTTGTATTTTCCTCCCTCTATCCCCTAACATATGTGTAAGCGCCAATCTATTATTATTATTATTACATACAATATTAATGAGATTTTTGGGACTGTTTCAATTGAGCTAACACGTCAACTTTCTGATGGTTTATTCAATTGTTTCTGATATGTTTAGGATTGATTCGCGACATGTAGCCCTTTCGCGACCAACAGGTTGAGAACCGATGCAGTACTGTACAAAAAAAAAAAAAAAAAAAAAAACTGGTATTAAATTTGTATTATGAATTGATATATGATTTATACTTCCCAATAACTAAAACGATTCTTTATAGTAAATTCTGAAACAATGCAGCTGGAAATTTGCTCGTCGACTTTCCTTACCAATTCAAAATCAATCGGCAAAAACACGCACATATATTTTGATGATTCAACTATCGTAGAGTCGACAACAAATAAACAAACTAATCCAGTTAATACCACATCCATTCGTGATAAAAATAAATCGCCAAAAGTAATTTTTAAATGCCATTTGAATAATGATATTACAAAGCCTTTGGTTTTTCCTTTACAAGTAATTAACAGAAGCCGTAAAGCTCGGAAACCTCTAATAGATATTCAAGAAAATATACTATTACCGCCCGCCAATATCGACATCTTAATCAAAAATGAACTTGCCAAGCCATTGAATAACGATTTTGAGAAAAACATTTTGTCTAATACTTTTGTGGCTGCAGAAAATTCAAATAATGTCGAAGCAGAAGGTGATATAGAAAACGTAAATAATATGGAAAGTAACGACCAACTAAAATCCAAAAAGGACGATACTAATAATAATTTTGAGCTCACTGAAAAAGCAGAAATAAACGCAAGCATCACAAGCGAATTAGAAAAATCAAGTGATTTAGAATCCACAACAAAACAAGCCATGGAAGAAATAATACATTCGAGCAATGAAAGTAAAGAAAAAGCTGATGAAAAACATATCTCAATTGCAGGCGAAAATAATCAAAATAGAAAGTCGAGTGAGAATCATACAATGACTGAGCCTTCTGGCGATGAAAGTAAATCTCAAAAAGAGCCGGCCAACAATGAAGCTGAAATAGTCCAAGAAGAATCATTCGTTAAAATAACAGCAAACACAACGGATGCATCTAATAATTCTTTGGAATTGGAGGAGAGCTGTGTTATAGATTTAGATGATGATGAAGACGTGATTGATTTGAGTGACGCTGATGATCAACAACAGCCGTTTCAAATGACGCCGAATACTTCTAGGCTTTCAGAAACCCTAAACAAAAGCATTAGCGCAATGAGCGCCACTGAGATGCTTCCTTTCTGTACACCACTTACATCTATGCCTGCAGTGGGCGATATTGTTGTATTTAAGGTACGAAACTATAAAATCTAGTACACATAGTACTTACATATGTACATATATGCATGTCAAGTGTATTCATATGTATGTATGCATGTAATTTTTTATGTTTTGCAGTTCAATCGGAGAAGTTTAGAAGAGAAAAAGGATGTATCTGAATACATAGCTTGTAAATGCGAACATATAAATCGGCGGACGAAAGTTTTAAAACTCGCCATATTAGGTAAATTTTAAGTGAACTATGTATGTATATAACGCTTACATATGCGCCGTTTATCTTCAAGGTGGCATAATTCGTTTCCTTCTCTAAATTTCTAAATTGTTAGTTACTTCCAACTGAATGCATCTGTAAATTTTTCTACCGTCGTAAGCTAATGGCATAACCTTTACCTTTATCTGATGAACCTGTACGAATAACAGACGCGTTCAGGCACAGTTGAATGATCGATCAATGAAATCAAACGGCCTGAAATGTCACTTCCAAAATAAACTGCTCATATGTACCAGGGCTGCAAACCGCTCCATATGTCGATGCGGTTAGAAAAAATTTGAACTTGTACAAGAATCGGTTCATTAGTATATCAGAAACGCGCTTCAGTTCAAATTGTTACAAAGTGATACAAAATATACTATAAAATGGCAATTACTATATACATATCGACCCCTATTTTCGATTTTACCGAAAGCGGTAAAAGGCAAGTTTTACAGGACAGGCTTAAACAGTGTAATAATTTATTTGGATTTAAATGGACAACAAAATTATTGAATGCTACCTTTTGAATAGGACTATTAATTTTTTGAATACCTTATTGTCTAACTGTTTGGTGCATCTAGTAGATTGTCCACAATTTGTCTTCGTTGATGCTGTTTTAAAGCTCATTCAATTATCAAACAAACATTAAGCCATCGACCATATTGACAATACTATTTGATATATTTTTACGTTTTATAAAGGGATGAGAAAAAGAATTAAAATTTAATCCTTTACCCAGAATAGGTTCAGTGCCAAAATCTTCAAGTTAGGGAGATTTGTTGCAAGTTTCGAAATCAGTTGTTATATTTTTCCGCCTCGTCCTGTATTAAAATCAAAGATTCCAATTTTATAAAAAGAAAAATCTCTAATACGGAAAAGTGGTAAAATCAAAATCTTATAAGCAATTTGAAATAATTTCGATTGTGTGCATCCATAAGACGCGATTTCAAATACAATTGCAATTTTTTTATAACGGCACGAAAAAATGCCCCCTTAAGTATCTGTTTTTCGTGCTTCTGGTATGCTTTTAGATCTTATAACCCGGGACGAAATTTTTAAGCTTTTGCTTGGAATTGCTTATTCTGGGTTTCCAAGCTTAATTTTAACGACCATGCTTATTTTGCATATTTCCTGAAATATAGTTTTGGCATTTTTTGAAAACACCGTTATATGGGAAGTGGGCGTGGTTACAGTCCGATTTCGCCCATTTTCAATACCAACCTACCTTGGATAAAGGGAAACCTACATACCGAATTTCTTTGAGATTACTCAAGTTTTGCTCGAGTTAGCGTGTACACGGACGGACGGACGGACAGACAGACATGGCTTAATCGACTTCTCTATTCATTGTGAGCATTTAGGTATACATTTGTTTATATCTATCTCGATTCGTTTTGGCTGTTACAAACAACCTTGGGCACAAGTGCGCTCGGAATCGGACATCAAATAGAAAGTTACAGCAAAAAACCCGATTCACTGGAAAGTAACTTTCGATTTCGCATTTTTACAGCAAAACGCGTAGAAAAGCGCTTGCATTGCCACGTTTAACCGCACCTTAATTTAAATAAGTAGCGACAATTTCCATTTAAAGACAATTAATTTTTTTTTTTAAGTGTAGATATTTCATTTATTACTTAACATAACTTAACTTAAACTTAAGTTTCTTGATGTCTGCCAGAAGAAGTTGGTGTTCGACGAGTAGTTGATTACCAGAAATTTAGAGATATATAATATAAACGAAAAATAAATATTCCATTGTGCAATTTTTGTTTTTTCAATATCTTTCTATAATTTTTAACTGGATTTTAAAGAAATTAACGGTTAAAAATTACTTGTTCGTTTTTGCCCATAAAACATCATTATAAATTTTATTTTCTATTAAGATTTAATATTAACAGGATGTTTTTTTTCTTCCAGATGCAAGTCTCGAAAAGGATATTATTCCACAACATTACGTCTACAATTTAGACGAATCATTAGGTGATAGATTTATGAGCATAAAGTTTCCGGAAATGCTCGATGCTAAAGTGATGCAGACTTAGTAGAATTTGTTTATGAAGTTTCAAAAATAAATTGTTTTTGTGTAAATGTTGCTCTTTTATTGCTTTAAATGACTATATAAGCGTAACATATGTATTTACATAAGGGTGGTCCGAAAATGCATGTGAAAAAGTAAAGTCGGAACTTTTATGCTCTCTCGATTTTCGGTACGAATTCTTGAGCTTAAATTCACTCCATTAGTGCAAAAGTTGAATCCACGCTTAAGCTCACTTTATGCATGAGGCCCATTATGTTAAGTGTTCGGCCGAGCTTCTCTTCCGATTTGTGGTGTGCGCGCTTTGATGTTGTCACACAAAAGGAAGGGACCTACAGTTTTACGCCGATTCCGAACGGCGGTTGTATTTTTATGAGAAGCTGCTTTTCATGTCTGAATAAAATCGTAGGTTTGCCATTGCCTGCCGAGAGGCAACGCTATTAGAAAAAAAAAACTTTTTATGTTCTATTTTTTGATGTTGGCCGGAAGCCGAGCTTGAACCCAGGCCTTGTGGATTGGTAGCGCGCACTGCTAACCACTACACCTCAGAAGCCTTAGATATATGTGTCTATATTATGACCGACGCATTGCCAACATCGTGTTTATTTCCCAAATAATTATACGAGTACGGTCTATTATTTCGCGTAATTGTCGATTTTTTAATCTGACTGTTTCGATTAGTTCCTGATTTTCTTGTAGCGCCTTACGATATTCATCGCATTGTGCGGGTTCGGTGCGATGATCTGGCTGTTCCTCCTTGTAGGTTATCAAACTCTCAACGTTAGTGTAGTCCATACCATGAGGGTACCCGTCATTACATTTTTCATAAATAATGCGTACACGCTTGAATAATAATCTAATGGTACGAAAGTATTCTTGTACTTTTTTCTCAGTATTGTTATCCCGGTTTGCAGTCGGTTGTATGATTTTCAGTGCAGTGAATATCTCCTGAAAACGTGATGTTATATCCTGAACAGTTTCTTGACCTAATCGCGATAAAGCTACAATATTGATTTCTTTATGAGGATTTGGCTGTGAAATAGCTAACATATTGCTGCCAGTAGCGGCTGCGGTTTGTGGTGTAGTTTGTTGGGCATGCATTATCCCTACCGGATTAGTTCCCGTCATCTGTGCCTGCTGTTGCATGCCAATTGCTATTTGCTGTTGCTGTGCATGTTGTATGATATTACTCGTGGAGACCGCGCCAATCCCAGGCCCAACACCTATCATGCCAGTACTTACTGGTGGACCTCCACTGCCACCTTGCACCATCTGTACATGCTGCTGCATCTGCTGTTGTTGTATATTCATTGGTGTGTTCATTAGACTTCCCGGTCCGCTCATGCCCATACCACTCGGTATTTGTTGCTGTTGGGGATGGTAACCACCCATGGGCATCATACCACCACTGCCAGCACTTATTTGTCCACCAGCCGCTCCGGCGATCATTGTATTCTGTCCCATTCCATGATTCATCATTTGGGGGGACTGTTGCTGTTGTGGATTAAATTGACCACGATGGCCACCAAGCGGACTATTATAACCGCTAGGATACTGTCCTGACATTTCGCAAAGTGATTTTATGAATAATTAAATAATTAAAAATGTACGCAAAAATTAACAAGCACCAGCAAGAAACTGCAATTCTTCATCCCTTAGTGATGTGCTGAATTGCCGGTACCCAATACTTCAGGAAGATTTCGGTACCCAATACTTTTTTTTTGGTAACCCAATACCGATTATATACACTCATTAAACTTTCGACATAAAATACATTTCCCGATAAGAAAAAATAATAATTGCTATTATATATGTATATGTATGATATTGCCTAAATNTATAATTAAATAATTAAAAATTTACGCAAAAATTAACAAGCAATAGCAAAAAACTGCAATTCTTCATCCCTTAGTGATGTGCTGAATTGCCGGTACCCAATACTTCAGGAAGATTTCGGTACCCAATACTTTCTTTTGCGAACCCAATACCGATTATATACACTCATTAAACTTTCGACATAAAATACATTTCCCGATAAGAAAAAAATAATAATTGCTATTATATATGTATATGTATGATATTGCCTAAATAACAATGTGGCGTATTCATAGTCAAAATAAAGCCGACACTTAAGTAGCTGCAGCATTTTGACATAATTTTTAACAGAATATCCAAGGCGAATTTATATAAGGTGGTGTTGTTTCATCAGCTGTGAGTAGCGTTTGATTGTCAAAATTTTGAATTTCGTTAGTGAGTGAGTGAAAACGGGAGAGTGTTTGCATTTTCTGTCGCCCTTTTTCATTCGGGGAAGAATAGCTGAAATTTGACAATGGCCCGCTAAAAGCAAAAACCAAATACAAGTAATTGTTGTATTTGTTCAATCGATACCACCTTATATATTCGCCTTGAGAATATCTGTGTTTTATTATGTAGAGCGTGTGTGAATCGGTAACAAAGTTCGCGACGAGTAAATTTTTGACAACTATGAGGTGAATAAAATTTCAGTAGCTCGTGAGTCTAGTGAAATTTTTGACAAATGCTTAGAAAATTTTGACAATCGCAAAGATTGTTGATGTGCATGGTGTAATAATAACAAGGTGTTGTCAGTAACTTAACCTCACTTTTTCGGCAGGTCTATTCCGGTCACGCANAATATTTTATTCCGCATAAATCTGCGGTTATCAAAAATTTACTGCTGTCAAGAAATATTTCATTTCACACAGCAGATTGGCAAAACAGTCTCCTCATAGTAAAAATATTATTCAAAAGCTTTCCCCATAGAACTTTGTTACCGATTCACACACGCCCGTAGTTATGTAAAATATACCAAAATTAATTTTGAATAGTCCGTGGACTGCCCGCCAGTTAGAAATTCTTTTCTGCGTCATATTTCCCTCGTTTCTTTTCTGCACTTTTTTTAAGTTGAGTTGGCATTACTGGTGAAAAGTTAACAGCTGATGGCGACATTGCGAAAAAAACATTTTTTGCAACGTAAATACGAGAAATATAGACCAAATTTTTCAAAATAGCTATTAAAAATGAATCAACTACCGGACGATTACTTTCGCTACATCTACNATCCTTTTCTTGTTCTTTTTTTAAGTTTGAGTTGGCATTACTGGTGAAAAGTTAACAGCTGATGGCGAATTTGCGAAAAAAACATTTCTTGCAACGTAAATACGAGAAATGTAGACCAAATTTTTCAAAATAGCTATTAAAAATGAATCAACTACCGGACGATTACTTTCGCTACATCTACAGCTCTTCTTTGCATGAACAGGTGCAAATAAAGGTGTAAGTATGATGCAAACTAAGTGATTCGACACGATAAAATTAATTTTTATTGTTACAGTGGTACATTGGAAGGCAAAAAACGGCAACCGGACTACGAAAAACTACTTAAAGATCCTATTCTACGCTTCTCTGGTCTTTATTCAGAGGAGTGTCCTGCGTTCCAAATACGATTGCAAGTGTTCAACAAAAGTAAACCATACTGTTTGCCTGTCACCACCTCTTATAAAGCCTTCACGAAACGTTGGAGCTGGAATGAATGGGTGACACTGCCGTTACAATTTTCTGATCTACCACGCACTGCAATGCTAGCTCTAACGATCCTTGACTGTGCAGGAGCCGGTAAAACCACTGTTATAGGTGGAACAGCAATTTCGTTATTTGGCAAGAATGGTTTATTTCGCCAGGGTATGTTCGATTTACGTGTGTGGTTAGGTGTCGAAGGAGATGGCAGTTATCCATCCAAGACGCCTGGTAAAGGCAAAGAGTCATCCAAATCACAAATGCAACGTTTAGGTAAACTTGCAAAGAAGCATCGTAATGGTCAGATGCATAAAGTCGATTGGCTGGATCGATTAACTTTTCGTGAGATTGAGGTGATAAATGAACGTGAGAAACGTATGTCGGATTACATGTATCTAATGATAGAGTTTCCCACTGCAGTTTTCCAAGACTATTATAATGTACGTAGAAGCAACGATATTCTTTTGGTCGACACTGTATGAGTTTTCTTATCATTACAGTATTCCATTGTCTATTTTGAACCAGAAGGCGATAAAAGCCATAAAATACTATCAAAACCAAAATTGGTGACTGTACCGGATTCGGACATATTGCAGGTATGGCGGAAAAATTTAGTGAACTACATACTAGTATATCCCATATAAACTTGGAAGTATTTTGCAAAGCTTAACTTTTTTGTTGTTTGTAAAGTGGTCTCGCTGCCTCTAAGAGGAACAGTTCCAGTCCTCCGACGTACCCAATAAACTTCC